CTTCAATTAAACAAATTAAAAAAAAATTTGAAAATCTTTATTATTATTTTTTTGTTAACTACAAAAAAATTTTATACGCATTTTTTTGTTAATTAAAAGAAATATTTAAAGTGCAAAACAACTTACTGAAGAAATAATAAAATTTAAAAATTAACTCAATATAAGTATATATATATATATATATATATATATATATATATATATATATATATATATATATATATATATATATATATATATATATATATATATATATATATATATATATATATATATACTTATATACCTATGCATGGATTTAGAACTGACTTATGACTAAAAAGCTAGCCTAGGTATCTTCCACAGACAAAAATCCTCTTTCGCGGTGACAGTAATTGCGATTAGGAAAATAGTCGTGCTCGATGACCGTAACACTAACCCTTACGGGCTAGGCCCAATATTATTTAAAAAATTTGGCATATAAAATTCGCCGAATGGTCACACACGAGCAGTGAACACATATGTATACAAAATTGTATATAAATGTTTATAAATAAATGTATATATATATAAGTATAAGTATATACATAAGAAAAGTAACTTCTTTAACTTAGAACTTTCAAGTTTTTGAATCTTTTTATCTGCAGATAACATTTTTGAACAGTTTTTTGCATTTAAATTACATATAACATCACGTGAAACAGTATTTAAAAATGTCTTGATAATTATTCCTCAAGTATCTTCCATTTTATGCTTTCCATTTAAAAACTTCTCTGTGAGAATGGGCTTTATTTTTAATGTCGCACAAAAGTAACTTTTCAAAGATTAAACAATGATTTTTTCCTGATAAAAAAATTTGTCTCAAATGATCAGTTTTGAAAATAGTTAGAAAATAGCTATAAGATAGTAAACATAATGTAAAACATAAATCAGTTGGTCGTATTAGGCTCCATTAATGTCATTATACAAATCATCAATTTTTCCTTTTTCTTCAGAACAAATGTCTAATAATATGCTTCGGAATTGTTATCAACAAAGAGATTATTGCAACCTAAACACTGATGGAGCTTTAACAATCTTCGGGAACAATAACCTGAAAAAATATAAACAATATTTACAGTATCATCTTCAATAAGGGAGTAAGGATGATCATCATTAAAATTTTAGATTTTGGAACCTCATGATCCAACTGTGAGACTCACGGTTTTATAACGAATCTCACGGTCTCACGGTTGATGCAAAATTCTCACGGTAAATTTTAAAAATTTCCGAAGAATTATTTTTTTAAATTTACTCTTACTATTTTGGCCTAAAATAATAACAAGATATATTCTGAAAAAGATTGTGATTACATCAAAAAATAATAAATATTAAGTGAACAAAACAGAATATACAACCGGCTCTGACTAAATTTAAACATGAATTTTTTTATATTATAAATCAAATCCAAATTTTTAAAAATGGTGTATTTTTAAAAAAAAACCTTTGTTTCACTACAGAATTGATATTTTATGGTACCATATTTCAAAAATGCTTATTCCCAACGCTTCAGTTAAACGTTTTAAACTGCTACCAAAATTAGCTGAAATTGTTCTCATTATTCCCCACAGTAACGCTGAGTTAGAGCGATTGTTTAGTATTGTAAAAAAAAACAAATGTCTTGAGAGATCAGCATTAAAGTTGGATCATCCAACTTTAATGCTGATCTCTCAAGACATTTGGTGTCCATGCTGCTGAAGTTTCTCCACTCATGATTACATTCTTTTGAAAAGTTCAAGCCATCTTTAACTTTTTCTCAAGTTCTACCTTAAGATGGGAAAAACTGATGAAAACATCGACCATCTCACTAAAGGGAAATAGTGATACAAGATGGTCTGCCAAAAAAGAAGCAATCAACCCACTACACAGACAAATCAAAGAAGTTCTTCAAGTTTTGGAACCCATAATTCACACTCCCATGACAAATGCTGTCTCAGTTTGCAGTGCAAAAGAGCTCATCATTCAAATTGATTTCAGTTTTCTGTGTTTGTTGGATTTTTGGTGTCTAATTCTTTCTTTAATTGACCGGGAAAACAAACTGCTTCAGTATAAAAATATTTCAATTGACATTGCAGCAAAAAAAATGAAAGGACGGAAGGCTTCCATTCAGAATCTGAGAGATGTTGGGGTAGACAACATTATCAAAGCTGCTGCAGAAACAACTATCCAAATTGGAATTGAAGAAGACTTTCCTATGAAGAGAAAGCGCAAAGTGAAGCAGATGACACTTTATGAAGCTGAAGATGACTTTTGCCGTTTGTCACCAGAAACAGATTTCGGATCCCAGTGCAACCTTGTGTTTGACAGCATTCTCACACAAATTGAGTGGCGGTTTGAAGCTATGTCTGCAGTATCCTCAGATTTTGACTTCCTCAGTGGACATTCTCTCTCCAAAAGTTCAGTGGATGAACTTAAGACTAAAGCCAAAAATTTGTCTAAAATTTACAAGGCAGATTTAGATTCTTCAGATTTCTAGTCAGAAATAGCAAGCTTTAAAAATCAAGCTGCTGCCATGATGGAAAACTTTGAAAAATCTAGCCCGATGGACATTTTGCAGCTCATTCATAAATACTCATTGACTGATGCTTATCCTAACACGGCAATTGCTATTCGCATCTTCCTCACCTTACCAGTTACAGTTGCCACGTGTGAAAGAAGTTTCAGTAAACTTAAGATCATAAAAAACTATTTGAGATCAACTATGGGCCAAGAACGTTTGTCTTGTCTGGCAGTAGTTTCAATGAAGTGGCCAAAACACTTGATTTTGATGATGTCATTAGTGACTTTGCCTCCAAAAAAGCCAGAAAAGTAACCTTGAACTGAAGTTTGTGAAACATTGGTGACAAATTGTTCTTTTAACTTGATGCGATAAATTTTGTGATCAATAATTAATTTTTTTTCATGTAAATATATATATATAATGTGTTTTTTGTATACTTTTTTGGGAGGGGGGCGCAATTTTATTTGCTTGCCCGAAGCGCAAAGTTGGCCTGGTACGGCCCTGGTTGGATGGAGCATTATCAAGTATTTTAGCTATGAAAACAATGTTTACCGAGGCTACTATACCATGTTTTCAATGGAAACCATCGGAACAGCTATTAAAAACATAAAAAAAAGCAACAAAAATGTACAATGCTAAACATAATGAATAAATATTATTTATTTATTTATAGAATGTAACTTTTCATTCTATTATAATTTTTCTTGTTTGAAAAAAAGCACTTTTTTTTTTTTAAATTTATGCTTTTCAAGGTTTTTATGTAAACCTCAAGGTTTTTTCTAATAAATCTCAAGGTTTTTCAAAAAAAAGGTTGGAAGGTCTGTGATATCATTTTCATCCAACTGGTTAGCATCTATATTTAATAAATCTTTTACATTTTTAAGATCTTATGTCAAAAATCCTGAATATTTGCAAAGACTTTCAAATTTTTTTCTCAGCATCCAAAACTTGTTTTACTTTAATGTAATAGTTTTCACCAAACAGCTTCCTATAATGACCAAACCTGTATTAGGAACTTCTAAGCCTGTATTAGGAACTTTTAACCGATTGCATTGATTTAGAAAGTCAACAAATTTTTTCAAAAAAATTAAGTTTTGGTCTTATGGGTTTTGAATTGGTTTCATAAGCATATCTCGTTTACGTGAACCAACAACTGGAAATTTCACATTAACAACTTTTCGAACTTCCACAAACCTTTCTATTAAATAATGAGTAGCATTCCAAGTAGAACTTTTCCATTCTTGTAATAAAACTTTAAGGCACGTGCAGTTTTTTAATGGAAAATTAAAAAACATAGCTTTGCTGATGTTCTTTGGAGATTTGTAGGCTGAAAGCATTGTTTGGATAGGTGATGGGCAACTTTTAAGGGGTTTTTACTCTCTTACTGAAAAATCTGTAAAATGTCATTAAAATCTGCATTGATATATTTTAAACCAGAAGGTGATATTAAAACTTGTAATTGATTATCCAATAACTGATCTCTTGGTATACATGATATTGGAATAGGATTTTACAACTTTCAAAATTATTAAAAGCATTTTCGAAGTTGTGAGCAGGATCAATTAAAATAAAGAGTTTCTCGTCGTTTAATATTAGATGATTAATAAAAGGAGTCAATTTTCCTGAACGCAACTCATCCATGAAAAAATTTCGATTGACAACATGATTGTCACTTATTGTAATTATTAAATGAAATCCAATCATACTAAGCATTTCCAGGTCCTGAAACTAACATTTCTTTAAAGTGGGAACATTTATTCTAGAAAGAGGACAAAGGCAAACAGTATTCATATAATTTCCAGCAACTGAAGTGATGAAAAATACTAAAACGGTTGTTACTAACTTCTCTGTTTCATCAACCATACCAAAAAACCTCCCATCTGCATACTCAACTTTTTGATTAATATAAATTTCATTAGATATTAAATTTACAATTTTTTCTTTATTGGTCCAAGACTGTATTCTTTTTTCAAGATAAAGTTTACGCATTTACATCTCGTAGCATTTTTTACTACTTGTATACCACAACAAACAAGTAACAAGAAGATTGTTGTATCTTTTACTTTGACATGGTTTTTCCAATAAAAGAAGCTGGTCACATATAAGTTGAGCTTTGTACGAATTTCTTCAGGGCAATCATATCCTTCCAAAAGTTTAACGCATGTAGATATAAGTGAAATTTCACTATCTTTTTCAATTAAATAATGTATGTAGCTTAGCATATTCTCTAAATCTGATAAACTGGAAATTTATTTCCAGTTTAATTATAATATTTAGTTATTTAATGTAATATGTCATAAAGCTTTAAGATTTACGTTTATACCTTTTCTAAAACCTTCTTTTTAAAAACTGGTTTAACATCGGCCCCTTAGCGTATAATTAAAAAAAAATAGTTTGCAAGTGCGCAGACCAGGTATATAGGAGACCTTGATCAGCCTATTATCAAACGCTTCCTGCCGTGGCATTTAATAATAATAAAATGTTTCAAATGTATTATTGTTTCATTTTAAACTGTAAGTAAATTACATTAGACACGAAAATAGATATTATGTTATATAAGTATCAATATATACGATAAGTGTGAAACACACACTATAAGTTTAGAAAATTGTGTTGAAAACTAAAAATTAGATCAGTACAAAATTATTTAAATTTCAGGACGAAAAATTGTTTAAGCAAACCCTTAAAATATTAAATTTGTGGTTGTAATAACTCATTACAATTCTAACTATTGTGGTATCGTTATTTCCGAGATAGCACAATAGTTAGAAAACTAACGATTGTGGTATCGTTATTTCCGAGATAGCACAATAGTTAGGAAAAAAAATAAAATAAAATAAAACTTTTAATAGCATAGCAAAAATGTAAAAAATGTGTTACAAATGGCTTTTCAAAACTATATTGAATAAAGATGCAATTATTGTTATAAGAAATACTTATTAATAAAAATTTTTATACAAAAAAGTTATAAAATTATTTATATCGTATAGTGATTAAAAAAAAAATCTTTATGAAACTCAAGCGTACTTTGTTGCAATGCTCACATTCCACTTTTAAAAAGTACTTTAATAAACGATTCAATAATCGAACACGCGAACCCTACAAAAGATAAAATGCAAAACTTATAAAGCATAGTAAAAATTACCACCTACCGGTGTATAACGTACAACCGGTGTATAAGGTACCTACCGGTGTATAAGGTACAAAACATTAATACAAAAATTTTAAAGAACTCAATGTTAGCATTGAGTTCTTCGAAAAAATGTTTCACATCTTTACGTTAAACAGAGATGCTAACCATGCTAATAGTGAGTAAGGACGCGGATAGCTTTCATGACACCCGAAACATAGCAGCAATTAGGCACCCCTATAAGCTTGCATATTTTAAATTAAAAGCACGTACAACTATACAAGTTAATAACTTGTTTATATTTCTAATACCCTAACTTCATATTTTTATGAACCGCATCTGAATTAAAAAACACGTTCATTAGTTATGATTAACATTAAGATTCTTTGAAATTTTGAAAACTTTTCTTGTTTTTTTTACTAGCACTGTTGTTATTATGTCATTACAGAGTTGTATTCAATTCATTTTCAACGTGTATGTCTGATCCACGCTTATGTTCTATAGTGGCCCTACAATCATTTTTTTAAATCAATTTTAGTTTACTTAAAGGTCAATCAGGTTTTGTGACAGGGGCGGCGTTGCATTAAAAAATTCAACTTTTTGAGAATCAGGCTTGCACACAAAACTCATGATGCAGTACTTATTCCGCAACTGGAGAGCTCCGATACCAAAATGACTTCTTGATACAACCAATCATTCGATCGCCAACCCAAGCAGCTGCTTCTACTTGTACTTTGACTTTGAGGTTGATGGAAATTAGTACTGCAACGTCTTGCTCAATGCATGCTGGAATTATATTCAATCTCTGAATTCAAAATCCAGCTTTTTAATTATTTATTAAAAAAATACAATTAAATATTTCAACAAATTAATATTGAAATTCTTTATTATATATATCGATTCGCGATCCTTCAGTTTTTAATTTGATATTTTTAACATTTTGAAATTCTCTACTTATCCATCTACATCTAATTCCTCTGGTTTTCTATCTGCCATTTTAAAACTTTCTTATAAAATTTTTCATTTTAATATTATTAATATTAGTACCAATATTTTGGCATTCGGTCGTTATATATATACATATATATATATATATATATATATATATATATATATATATATATATATATATATATATATATATATATATATATATATATATATATATATATAATAAAGTATCATATATTGTATACATATGTATATATATTTATTGTGTACGTACTTTAAAGTTATATAATATATACATGTGTATATATGTTATCCATTTATCGTTAATTGCTTGATACATGTATACTACAAGATGGCTACACCTATATTACTCTAAAAAACTTGTGTTTTAAATAACTTTTTCTTGCATGTTATGCTTTTTATGTGAATATTTTGTTATTTAATAAAAAGTAAAAGGGAAAATAAAATAATAATCTTAAGTGAGTCAATTATAATTAATAATTTTTTAATGATTATTATTATTTGTTTAATAAAAAAATTATTTAAAATAGTATAAATAGCTAATTAAAATTTTTTTATAAATAGTAAGTAATATATAAACAATTATTGAAGGAATGCATTTTTTTTTGTTTAAACTTGCTGCATTACCATGCTATTGTGAGTTTTTAATTAATATTTCCAAAATAATTTGTATTCTGTTATATATATACTTCATATATGAAGTCTACAAGCCTACAAAAATTTAAACTCTAATTATATTTTTTATTAAATTATTGTACGTATTTAAATATTAATAAAAATGAAATGACACTGAGATTTAATAAATTTCTTGATAAAAAACTGCATCAAACGAAAAGTTTTATATGCAAATGGATGCAATCGGCTGTATGTGGCAAAGCCGAAATTTATAGAATATTAACAAAATTGTTTGATATTAAACGTTATTGCTTCATTCATAACTTAATTATTGCTTCAATCTTAACAAAAACAGGTAAAATAGTATATTATTTAAAATAGTGAAATAGTTGATTATTTATATAAATAATATGGAGATTTGAAACAACATGAACATGTGACCATACATATATACTACAAGATGGCTGCACCTATATTACTCTTAGAAACTTGTGTTTTAAATAACTTTTTCTATGTGAATATTTTGTTATTTAACATAAGCACAGTAAAAGGGAAACTGTAATAATAATTTTAAGAGAGTCAATTCCAAATAATTGTTTTTAAATGTTTATTATTATTTGTTTAATAAAAGAATTATTTAAAATAGTATAAATAGCAAATTAAATTTTTTTTATAAACAGGGTTGTTTGGTAGACTGGTTTGGTTGGTTGATTGGTTTAAATTATTTGATTTAAATCGATTTAAATCATGATTTTAATCAGACAAAAATCATTATTTAAATTGACTTATTTGAATTTAATTATTATTAATGATTATTTATTGACTAATCAACTTAAAGTAAATTACACTAGCTAAATATAACTACTGAATAAACTAGTATTAGTTATAATAGTCAGATAATGCATTATAAAATATATAGTAGTCATATAAATCATTAAGTTTTTTAATTTGTTGTAAGATTTTTATCCATATAAGTAAATTTTTTCTTCTTTATGTTTTAACTTATTGACTAATTACATTAGTTTCTGTTTTTGTTACTATTTATATAATAAATATAAATATATTCCTTTTATATAAGAGTATATTCAAATTTTTTTAATTTACAGTATTCATTTATAATTGTTGTTATTTTTTAGTTGTAAATAAAAATAATATAACTAGAAATTAAAATGTCTGGTGTAGAAAAATAGATGCAGTTTTGAAAACGAAGAAATACCAAGGTTTGGTAATAAAGGGTAATAAAGGTTAATGTAAAGGCTGTGGTGTACAAATGCAAGGTTTAGTTGCTCGAATGAGAAACCACAAAATATAATTTTGGTAAATGTAATTTTCTGAAAGACGTTTAAGATGATGAAAACATTATTATTTGTCAAGACAAATATCAACCAGGCAACTAAAGAACCGCAAGCTAGTCAATGTTCTGTTAAGAAAACTGAATCTAGTCAATCTGCTGTATCCCCATGCTGTTGTGAGTTTCTATTTAATATTTCCAAAATATTTTGTACTCTGTTATATATAGACTTCATATATAGTCTACAAGTCTACAAAAAGTTAAACTCTTATTATATTCTTAATTATATTATTTTGCAAATTTAAATATTAAAGAGTTGAAATGACACTGAGATTTGGTAAAGATCTATATAAAGAACTTCATCAAACGATAAGCTTTACATGCAAATGGATGCAGTAGGCTGATGTGGCACAGTCGAAATTTACAGAATGTTTAAAAATTTGGCTGATATTATTTGAGTCAACTATTGCTTTAACCTTAACAAAACAAGGTAAAATTGTATATTATTTAAAATAGTGAAATAGTTTATATAAATGATATGGAGATTTGAAACATGAACATGTATATATATACAATCCTCGGAATTAGGGTTGGCATTCGGCAATGTCGACCTAAACTGCTGACCTGAAAGTGTTTGAGGTTGGCTAAAATTGCTAACCTTATATATACATATATAAATATATATATATATATATACATATATATACATATACATACATATATATATATATATATATATATATATATATATATATATATATATATATATATATATATATATATATATATATATATATATATATATATATATATATATATATAAAGGGTCCGCTAAATAACTTTTTTTTTTTTTTGAAAATGCTAGAAAAAAAAACTACTGAATATTTTATCAAATTTCTTTTTTCATTTAAAAGTACAATCCTTCCGGTTAATAATGGAAAATAATTTCTTTCAAATGGCTGCCTCGGCTGGCCATGCAGTAGCCTACACGATCGGTCCAATTTTTAAGCACATTTTTGATTGTGTGCAGCCGTATTTCACCAATGGCTTCACGAATATTGTCTTTTAAAGCGTCAATTGTTTCTGGTTTGTCGGATTAACACATATCTTTGAAGGCACCCCACAAACAATAGTCCAACGGTATCAAATCGCAGCTCTGAGGTGGCCAAACGACATCAGCTCTGCGGCTGATAATGCGATCTTGAAAAACAGGGCGCAAAACATTGAGTGTAGCTTTGGCTGTGTGGCACATAGCGCCGTCCTGTTGAAACCAAATGTTGCCAATATCCTCCTCTTCAATTTTTGTGAACGAAAATTCGTTCAACATGGCACGGTAACGATCGCCATTGACTGTAACGGCCACTCCTTGCTCATTTTCGAAGAAAAATGAGCAAGGAGTTCAATTTTAAGGTTCTTCCAAAGAAGAACCTTAAAATAGCAAGTGATACCAGTGATCTAGTTTAATAACTGGCCTCTAATGCCTCAATTCATGAATCTTATGAAGAAGTTGTTAAGAGACACTGTGTTGAATGGTTTTGCGAAGTCAATAAAAATTATATAAACCAGATGTCTACGGTAAAGTGTTTCTTTTAAAATGTTACGAGACTCATTTAGGTTTGTAAGGCAACTTTTGTGATGTATAAATCCATATTGTGACTTTGGTATTAGATTGTGCACAGTATTTCATAATCCTATTTATGATAGTTATCTCTGTCACCTTGCAAGGGAAACACCAGCTCTTAGTTATAAATCTTTTATTTTTGTGGGTAAGCGTGGAATTTGATTTGTGTGAAAATTTCATCACTCCTTCGTTAAAAGTAACAAATAAAGTTTATTAAGAACAGATAAAAAAGGTCTTTAAAAGAAACAAAAATGTAAGTTGAGAAACCAAACATACAAAGTTGCATACAAATACTAGGGAATCAGGATAAATATTTTCTGATGTTATATTATTCCTAATGTTTTATGCAAGTTTTATATACATTTACGTATAATTACATAAAAAATGCTCCTACGACTGGAAGCTCTTAGTTGTGTAAAGGTTAGAAATAATACCTCAGATGAGTATTTTCATTGAACTTATAAAAACTGTTATAAAAACTTATAAAAATTATTCAGCATGACTGTCTTTAACCACAGCTGTAAAACAAATAAAGCTTGTTTCTTAGGTTAAATATATTATCAACTATTTCATATCACTCTTTTGCGTTTAATATCACTCTTTCGTTTTGCGTTTATATCACTCTTTTGCGTTTAAGCTGGCCAACTTTTATTTATCAGTTTTTAATTTTAAATCGGTACTTTTCATTTTAGCTTGGTATTTTTTAATTTTAATTTGGCACACAAAATTTACACCTCGCAAAACAAATCAAAATAAATTTACGGAGAAATAATTATAAATAAAATAAAGATATGGAAAACAAATTTTCCCTTGAATTAACTCTATCCGCGACATCAAGAAGATTGAGAACACGTTCATAATGTCCTCCAAGATGTTGGGTAAAGACATGCAAGTGTCTTGGGTCAACAAGGCAGAGAGCTCACTCATCTACATTCCTCAAGAATTGCATTCTGAACTCTTCACGTGTTACATTTTCAGGTAGGGTCCCAGAAATGTAACCAAGCCTTCGCGCAATGATCTTTTCATATTTAACATGACCGTTGACCATGCATTTTCAATAGGGTTGAGCATTGTAGAAAATGGTGTAAGTCTCAACACACTTACATTTTGAAATACATGCTCAATATTCATTTTAGTCAACTGTTTGCAGTTTGATACTTGTATGCACCACGTAAATGCACTCATCCCATAAGTGCAAGGAGTGAGTGTGTTTAGCCCTCTATTCACCTGATTTGAAAGTGAACGAAAACATAACAAGACCATACTAGACGACCAAAAGGTACATACTAATGCACTACACTATCACACCTGTAGACATCAACAGTTTCTAAAATATATAAAATATTTGTTCTTTATTATATACTTTTGTTCATAATCTTTTTTATCTTTGTATATTTATTCAGATTTGTGTTATAATGTGCAAATGAGGCCGTATATTTGTGAGTAGCATAACAGCGCAAAAATTTTACACAAAAGTATTTGGCATACTTTTATAACAAATGTATTCTTGGTTGTGATATACTGAACAATTCTACTAGATAAGTTTAGACTCTTCACGATCTCGTTAGGTTTTTTATTTCTATCTAATTTTCTCAATCTGACGTCGCAAAGTTAGTTTATTGTGGTTTACACTATAGTCTTCACTGACATTCCTTTGGTCGTTTTGTAAACAATATTGTTTTTTAACATTACATATTTTAATGGTTATAAGCTATAAGTAAAAAATCACATTTATTGTCTCATCTCTTTATTTCCTCATTACTCTCTGCCTACTGATTTAATGTTTGTATTTTTTTATCTCTGGTTAATCGTTGTTTAATTATTCTGAATCTGTTTCGTGTGATAGCTATTGTCTCTACTTATCAGGCAAGATTTATATGAGAACATATATTGGTGTTATCACATTTTTTATCATATTTTTGTTTAACTACTTTTGTACTAACCACAAAACATCTTAACTTAGTATCAATATTTATGAGTGGTATTTACTTATTATATTTATAATACATATTTCAGTCATAAAGAAAAGGTAAGTTACTATTAATTATTAATTACTATTTTCTATTCGCTTTGTGTTATTTCTACACATTATAATTGTTTATTTTTATACACCCGCATACATGCAGGTGTACAAGTTTTTCTCTTCTAATGTAAGTGTACATTATATTTATATGTGTTTACATATTTGTTTATGGTCACACCACGCGCATCCCTCACCACCCTCACGAGATCTTTAAGAATGTTAAAGCTGTTTTTAAAAACTGGAATAGGGATTGGGTTTTTTGGCTTTTATAGTGTAGTCCTATTATATTGCAATATTGACTAACATGACGTAGAGTGCAGGCAGTGAAATCTGTTGCAAGGACACGCCCCTGATGAGTGGCGTTAGTGCAGATCTCGGGCTCTCCGAAACGTCATTGGTGATCGCAGTGCATTCCTGAGGAGGGAGATCACCATTTATCCACTACTTAATTCTTATTGGTTATTATGGCACTAACATTTTTTGACCTTTTACACCCATGAACTTTTGTGCTTTGTGAGCTTTTTATTATGTATTTGTTACATTAACAACATTTATATATTTTTATGTTACACAGGTGATTATTAGTTCTCAATTTATTATCTAGAGTTTAGACCATATATAGTTTCACATTTATTAGACTTTTATTGACTTTTTTATTGACTTTTTACTCATAGATCATTGTTTTTTACTCATAGATCACATTTTACTCATAGTATTACTCATTTTGTTTTATCATTTGATAAAGATGACTAGAGGTTATGATTCCTCTTTTTATATTAGAGGTTATGATTCCTCTTTTCTTGAGTTGCTAATTTTTACTCCTCCTAATTAATAGTCTTTACATTAATTTATGTCTTTTTACCTAAATGATATCATCTTCAATCTGTTTTTATTTTCACATCTCCCAGGTCTACGTAACTGGACGGATCCAGTTGGTCACTTTTTGCGATCATTTTGTCGCATAAACAAAAAAATTAAAATCTCTTAAGAGAATGGAAGGTGTAAGAAAAGAAAAAAGCCAACAGTATATTCAAGATTCTTTCCAAAAATTAGATCTTTTCTCTTCTATTATTTAAACAGAATTCAAAATCCCCACAGCACTGCAAATGACTTAAAGGTTGAACAGATGTTTTCTGAGGAACCATTCCGGATCTTATTGATGTTTCTCAGAGCAAAAAAATTTAAACAAAACATTTATATAATTTTAAATTAAAAATATAATTACTCTAGGTAAGTGATAATTGTTTTGCAAAGTATAGTTTACTATATTTTTTTACTAGGTTTTTTTTGACTCATGACAAGAATTAATGTATAGTAAAGATTTTATTTTTTAATGCTAATGAGTCTTACACGCATGTTACAGATAAGCCTCATTGTTATCAATGATTTTTTGTTTTATTTTGTTTTATTTTGATGTTTCGTGTCCAAAAGCAAGATAAAGCGAAATGGCATCTGAGTTAAATCTACATACTTGTTTCCACACAACTCATTTGTAATGTAGATATTTATGCAATATTAGAACTAAGTAGATAAAACTAACTTATTTAAAACTATTCTTATTTTTTTAATTTTGAGCATACATAAAATTTTGAGCATAAAGTTTTATTTTATCAAAGAAAAAAGACAAAATTTAATGGTATACTTTTCAAATAAAATAAGAAAATTTATGATAATTTACCAAAATACTTGGTTATCTTAACAAAAACATGAATAGTAAATATTTATGAAACAAAAAAGATTTTTAAACTTAACAAAAGAGATTTAATGAAAAGCAAAAAATCTTTTTGTTTAATTTACAAAATTAATTGGTTCAATTTGCAAAATGATTTTTACCAAACAGTTTGCTTACTTTAACAAAAAATATTTGGTACATAATTATTTACCAAATGTTAAAGTAACCAATTTTTTCGACCAAAAATGTTGAAGTTCACAAAGCGTTTTTTTTTTTTTGCAGTGTGCACTTACATTTCCGCTCCAGACCAAAGGAACCACTGTCTGACTTCAGACCAAAGGACTTCTTATAGATCATATGAACTATATAACTTTTATATGGATTTTATTGATGCTTCTATGAGCAAACAAAATATTGATTATTTTTAAAATATAATATATAAAATATTATTAGAAATAAAATAGTTTTGGTAAAATCAGAAAATAAATGTTGATAGAATAATGTTTGTTTTTAGCTTCAGTTTTCAAAAAATTAAACTTAAAAAGTAACTTAAATTGTTGCGCCAAATGCACACAATAATCAGGAGCCAACTTGGAACTATTAATTTTTTAAGAATAATAGCCGAGCGGTGAATAAATTCATGGCTCACATGCCTGATGTTGAAAAAAACGCACACCACTGAACAAAAAAAAACATTATTAACAATTTTTTAATCCAGCATTTGAAACCCAATTGCCCAACTGTTAATTATCAACCTGTAAATAATACCAATATCAAAACTGCAAATGCTAAAAAACATTTTTGATATTTGCAGAAAAATAATTGTATGATCGCTTGATCATATTTATGGACTCACCAAAATGATATTATGAGCAAGCTTATGGATTCACCAAAACAAAATATTAAAACTTTTATTTGTTAGCTGAAAAAATAAATTAGATTTATTTAAATATATATATATATATAAACTTCATTTTTTTCATGAAATAAGGAATTTAACTCTTGACTAGCAATTCAATTTTTATGCGCAACTACAACCATGACAACTACATAACTTAAAATTAAAAATTTTGAGTCTTTATTATTTAATCATTTAAAATCCTAAAACATACCACAACTTTTGCAAGCATCTATAGCTGTTTGATACTGTTGAGCATATAAATTAAGTTGATTGACAATTGCATTAAGAACTATGTCTTGTTGAGCTGCATTTAAGCACACATCATATAAACTTGGTTGTACAAAATTGTTAGTAGTGCATACAATCAAATCTTGAACTTGTTCAAGGTGCTATATAAAAAATGTTTAGAGATTTATAGAACAAGTAATTAAAAGTTTGCTTTTGAATAATTTATTGTAAAAAAACTATATTTTAAGAAGCCACATTTTAAATGTAAAAACAAACACCAACTGCTAAAGTGTTATCACGTGCAGAATATGCCATTGCCATGTGGCTATTTAGCTTAGTCAACTGTTCAACTAAAGTGTCTAGATTGCAACCTAAAGAATAAAAAAAACTAACAACAAAAGATAGCCAAAACGAATGAACATAAAAACATCCTTTTGTAAAGATAAAATAAAATAAACAAAAGATAACTCTTAAAATAATATTATTACTGATAAGGAACATAAAATTTAAAGTCATTTTAATAAAACTTTTATTATACCAAGTTAGTGGGAAGGAAACATTCGCACTAACTTTGTATAATACATAAGGATAATGGATATTTTTTACTTTTAATTTAAGTTAATTTGATGTTTCACAACTTGAATTCTTTAATATGTAAGTTGTGTTGAACTTTTGTTGTCAGGTACCACAATTCTGGATCTTTCATAAAAAAAATGGACCATAAAACTAATGGAATTTTAGGGGTCTAAAAAAATATAAAAGAAATTATGGAAATAAAAAATTTAGAGAAGATTGCCAAATAAAACCTTTAATATTTTTTTATACAATATCTATTATCTCTTAATTAAGATATATTTTTTACAATCATTATTAATACAATTATTTTTACTTCTACTATTTTTAATTTGCTTGAAATTTTTTTTTTCTACTGCTATTATTTTGTAACTTTAAAATTGTTTTATCAAAGAATGATAAAAACCTTTATGTGTTGGATTCCACAAATAAATATAAAATAATTTTAATTTACTTTCTATAAATATATATATATAATATATATATATATATACAAATATACTTTCGGAACTTTTTTATTTGCAATAAAAACCAGTGATGAGAAACTTGGAAAGGTATTCTTTATTATATATACTCATTTTTTTACTTAACTTTACTGATAACATAATTATTTTTCATTATAGTTTTATAATAATTGAAAAAAAAGATCAGTCTTTATAATATCTTATAACATCGAAATGCATTTTTGAAAAAAAACTGAAAAGTCACATAATATTTTATCTAAACACATTAAAATATCTAAGTGTTATCAATATATATTATCTAACTTAGATTATAACACTTTTTATCATAACACTTAAATTCTAAGTGTTATCAATTTATATCAATCAAAATCCTAGATACGTTATGGCAGATAATTCTTATATAACCACACGCAAAAGATCCTATTATTATTTTAGAATGTCGAATTTGTCTATCTAGCTTACCTCATTTAATACTAAATAAGTTATGTTAAAACTTATTTAACATTAAAATTATTATTGACTAGGTCCTAGTCAATAATATTTTATGCAAAACTTATCATTCGTCTATGTAGCCTAATAAATTTAATGTTAATCTTACTATATTATATCAGATTTACTTTTTTTAAATTAACTTTGTTATTATTTATTTATTGTTAAATTAATTATCATTATTAGTTATTATATTATTTATTGTTCAATTAACTAAACTAACTTTGTTATATTACATAATAAACTTAATTAGTTATAAATTAATTATTATTATAAGTTATTATATTATTTATTGTTAAATTAACTTTGTTATATTAGACAATAAACTTGAAATTTATAAGAAAAAAATAAAAACTTTAAATCTTTAAATAAAAAATCTAGAAATGATTTGTTCCATAAGATACGATTGCAAAAAGTGCTGGACTTATGTATTAATTGCTGAT